GATAAGACCTCCTTCTGTAGTTGGAGATACCGTGCAGCCAGCTGCAAAGATGAAAAGCATTTTAAGAACCTCAAACAGAAGCTGCAACACATGTACAAAACACCCACCAGCAGAAAATAGAAGCCATCAGGTGAATACCAAAGAGCTGGACCAGACACTTGGGGTGGTGTTTTCCTGTCAACCTTCACAACGAGGTGCTGGTGTCCTGCTGGCTTGTCCTGACACAGACCTAATGTCCTTATCAATCTCCCAGGAAACTCAAAGGTCACCTCATAACAACTCCATAGAAGAAAGGACAAGAAATAAATTAGTTGTGAGCTACTGTAAAAAGTCTCTGCTATTCTTACTGCTTTCCTGAGAAGCATGAAAAACGGCCACCTGCACAGCTGGCAGTCAAAACAGCCACAAGGAAAGCAACACCAGGGTGCAAGGTGCTTTCAATGCCTCTGCACACCACAAGCATCAGAGGTTTTTGTCTGAAGACCTGATAAAACACAGTATCACCTGACTCCTTCAGCACCTGCCAACACACCACCTTTACCTGAAGTTTATATTCATGAAACATTTTTTTTTTCACAGAAAGTTTTAGGATGTTTTTGTTTCCTTATGTGTATCTTTCCTCCTCTGCACTTGCCTTTTTCTTCAAAAATAAATAAATAAAAAAAAAAAACAAACCAAAAAACCAACACACACAGATGAATAAATAAATTGTACAGGCAGGACACAGAGGGAGCTGAAACTGTACCACAGGCAGGGAGATTCCTTTGCATGGCTAACACAACGTGGCTGTGTAGGAGAAGAGAACAAACGCTGCTGCTGCAGCCTGCACCTCAGCAGCAGACAGAGCACAAAGCTGCCTGCACAAAGGTGAGCTCCTGGTAACCCATCTACAACAGCCCTGACCTCCACGGTGCAGCTCCCACTAAAAGTATCCCCAGGTTTTAATTTCCAATTTGTCTTTCCAGCCACGGAATTGCTTCAGTCAACAAATTCAAAAAGGTAAATTTTTCTACCTTCAATTAACTGCATTAGTAGTGTTTATAACTACGTGATTGATAAATGCTCTACAGAAGCTGTAATTAATGTATTTTTTCCTTGGAACACACACCGAACCCCTTGGCGCTCAGACACTTAATGAAAAGCAATTTATCAACTTGCTTTGAACAGCTGAATCTGACTCCTTAATGCAGAGAAGTAACACACTTTGCTTTAAGCACCACCACTCCGAGGAAGGAATGAGCACGGCGACACTGCGAATGCCATCAGACACAGCTGGGATTTTGATCGGGATGACAGCGACCAGAGCGCTCATCTCATCTCCCTGGCTCTGATTCAGTCTGGCTTAACTGGGATCCTTTCCTCCCGGGATGCAGTCGAGCAGGAGATTTGTGCAGATGTGTTTTTGCAGGATGGGGGATTGGGAGCACCTCCTCAGGACACGGGACAAAGTTCCAAATTCTCCCATGCCTGGCACGCGCGCGCCGGGAAGCAGCAGCAGCAGCTCCGAGTATTTCAGCCTGGACATGTGTTCAGCTGCTCACAAAGCAGACAAAAATAAAGTGCTTACAGAGTGTTTGAATGCTAATTTCTCTAATTGAGAGTTGCTTTGTATAGTTGACATATGGAAAAAAAAAAAAAAAAAGAGGGGAAAAAGAAGCATTTAGGAGGAAAAGTTGGACATCACAGAATATTTTATGTTGGTATTAACCACTGGAGAAGATTAACCGGCCTTCAAAGCCTAAAATCTAAACTCCCATTTCTGAGAGTATAGGCTAGAGATTTCCAGTATAGGAACTGGTCTGTACTCCATGTGGCAGACTGAATGTAAGGATTATGTATTTCCATTACACATGTAAGTCTGTTTCCCATTCCTGCAGGGTCCTGCTCTCTTCCATTTGTCTTTTGATGCAGATAAAAGCTAATGCAGATTGCAACTGCTGATACAGAGAAAGGCACAAGACACAGCGAGCCTTTGGACTAAGAAAAAAAGGGACTCAGGTCCAGACTGCTCGAGCACGTCAAGAGATTGTCTTTGAAACTATAAAACTAGAAATGAAAGCACTGCGTTTTTATTTGATTTGATCAAAGAGACTAGAAAGGAGGGGGGGGAAAAAATCACATCTTATAGATGCAGGGTAGCATTTAACTACTTCACACACGATATGGGACCAGCTGATCCCATACAGATATGAATTTGGAGAAAAAACAAAGAGGTAAAGTCACTCCAGCTCTGCAGACACTGCCTGCACAGATCATTGCTCCAGGCTCTGCAAAGAGCAACAGGAACCTGTTTCAAAGCCAGAAAGGCACTGGAAGCACATACCCAGCCCTCACCACGGGCACAGGCTTTCAGTCTCCAGTGAAGAGAAGTGAGCTCCTGTCAAATCACAGAAAATAGACTCTGGATCTAACTGCTACTTGAATAAATCACTGATGACTCCCTGTTCCAGTGCTCTGACTGTAGGATAGCAGCACACCGTGGCAATCTTCCCGAGGAGGGCTTTGGACTGCAAGCTGCATAGGGACAAGACCGAAATTCTTGAACAGAGCATCTGCTCCAGAATGTGCCTGGCACCAGGAGAACGAGGCTCTGCAGAAGTACAAATGGCACTACAGGTAGCAGCCCTGCAAATCCCAAAGTGCAGCATGGAAAAAACAGATACCTATCGCTGCCACATTCCCTAAGAGAACAGATTTTAAGTATCTGCTCATGGAAATTTCTAACTGCAGAAGGGGAAGCATTTAGATTGCCTCTGGGCTGAAACCATCTAGGTCTTTGCCTTTCACTAAAAATTAAGCAGAAGTCATTTTAACGAGGCAGGCAGACAACAGTCTTGCACAGGAGATCAAAAAGCTCTCCAGATGTTTATTTTAAATGAAATTCAGAAGCCAGTATAAACCAGATTTTAAACACTGAATAATCCTTACCATAATTTGCATGAGAAAAACAGGCAAAAGGTTCCATCCTAGTGCTCTGAAACTCTCCAGGAACATGTAGGGTTGGAATTCGCTCCTAGACTCTTCAGATAAAAATGTGAAATATGAACAACTCCACACTGCAATCTGATGGCTGTTAAGAATGTTTTTCCCCTGTGCTGTACACTTGGATGCTCAACACATACACACGGGGGCAACCCATGTGAAGGAGGTCTCTGACCTTCCTCACCAAGACTGTGCAAAATTATGGATTGAAAAGTGTCTAAAAATGTCAGTCCTAAATCTTAAACTTTTTCTCCTCTTGCTACTTGCACTGAATGCCTCCTGATTGTGCAAAAGCAGAATATTCAGGCGTCAATCTAAGTAGTTTGGGTGTTACGCTGACAATGTCTCCGGAGAGGGGAAGAGAAGAGAGGACAGATTTCCAATAGCTCAGACACTTCCCTGGAAGCAAAGCTGCTACACAGAAAGGAGATAAATAAAGAGGGAAAGTAACACAGCAGAGAACTTTCACCAAGGTCATGTCAGGATGCTGAACGCTCCCCATCTGCAGGGGAAGATTTAGATGCCTGTTCCACCACACATATCCACTCCCCTGTTGGCAACAACAGCCCTCATTAAACCAAACCGGTTCTAACCATGAAAGAAAGAACATCAGGAAGATGATATTAGCTAACAAATGCAAAAGGAAAACCCAACAGAGACAGCTCTGGATGGGTGCTTTCTGCAGCAAAAAACAGCCCCATGACACGTGCAGAGAGCTCCTGCACAACCTGGGAACGGGCAACACAGGCAAACCCAGCCAAAAGGATGGACAACAGCTCCTGGCTTGCAGCACAGAGGAGATTCCATACCCATTCACTCAGAGATGAACAGGGATCCCATCAGGAACAGGAGCTTTTAGGACTCTGCTGCTGCACATGGTGACCTACAGGTTGCAGTTCCTCCTTGCTTTGCACTCAGGGCTGTGGACATGTGGCAGAACCCTGCAGACAGACCCTACCAAGAAACAACAGCCCTACCCCCAAATATTGTATCAGTTACTGCTGTGCCCTCAATAAGAGTGCTTCTTGCTCGTTTCAGCAATCTGAAAGACACGCTGGGCAAAATTTCAAGCTATGACAAAGTGATCTTATCACTTCTGTGCTGTTCTCGCTACACAAGCCCCTGATTCAGCAGCATGTAATAAAATCTTCATTTGCATGAAAAGCACTCTCTGATCACAAAGTCTTCTGTTCAACAGCCCTCTTCCCATCCACAGTGTAAAGATGCAAGCACCACTGTCATTCTGCCTGTGACTGAGGTAGAATATTTTATTTATGTTTTATTTGGAGAGGCTCTCAATGCTTTAATGCCATCTTTTCCTAAAAAAAAAAAATCCTGTATTTTTGAATAACACAAAAGCTGCACACATCCCAACTATGTAAGTACTGCGAAGTTCACTCAGTATGCTCACACCTGTATTTTTAATAATAGTGTCATGTGAAGGACATTTCATATCAGCACAGGGTGACCATGAACAGTTATAAAATGCCTTTTGTATTCAACAAGTCCAGCCTTTTCCATTTTGCCTTTAGAGTACTTGGTGTCATGACACACAGCACTCAGAGGATGTATTTCAAAGGAAAGGAAGGTGTAGCCATGCAAAGAACAATGCACTGCCCGCAACAAGATTAATCGCTGTCATGGGAAACCAATAAAACCAGTATCTTGTTATCTTTCTTTACAAAGGGACTGTTAAAGCTTAACTATATTAGGAAACTTTTTCCTTTGGACTAAACCATGAGGCTAATGTATGTGGGCATCCCACATGCCAGCATATGCGATTAATTGGCTCCCGCCTGACGCCGCAGGAGAAAGTCCAACGTTCCAGAGGCAGCCTGGAGCCTTCACACAACCAGCCTGTGCCCTCTCCTGACTACAGCTCTCTCACCAAGGCCAGCCCCAGCTCCCTGTGCCACACCAGGTGACACCACCTCCCATTCCCACCTGTTAACCGTGTCCCACGTACACAGCCCAACATCACACCCGGCTCCGAGCGAACTCAGCCAAAGCAGAAATACCTTTCATCACGTCAGCAGTGCGGTCCCCATTTAGAAACGCTTTCTTTCACGTTAATCCAGTGCCAAAACGTGGTGGTGTGGGCTGTGCTGATCCAGAAACGGTGCTAAGGATGCTGCTGCCTCCTGTCTATCACTGCACGCCTCATCTCGCGCATGGCCAGGCAGTGACGGCCCTGCGACAACAGGCACTTTAAATTGGGCAGCTCAGCAGCACATGTACACTGAATTTTTGAACAAGCTATTCTAAGCTGCTTTGCTAGCAATTTCTGGCCTGTGCAGTTTGAAAGCGCACGGTTCTGGCCCTCACAAAGAGCAGACCTGTAAATGACATCTTGAGGATTAAGCTGATTGAGATGCAATTTGCCTAGCAACCATTCATTAAGCAGAGTTCAGAAACAGGCCAGCAATCTATTCCACCTCCTTATCTGAGCAGTAAACAGATAACAGTCTCTACTGTGTCCTCTAAGCTCCAGTTCAGACACATTGTAAACAGATTTTTCAGAAGTTTAAACTCCTACGGTAAATCTCTGAGAACAATCCTGCTCTCCAAACACGAGGGATTCGGCTTTACCAAGTGTCTTACAAGCGAGAAACAGCTCTGGAAGGAGGGTAATGTAAATCAAATTGTGAATGCATTTGCAGTTCCTGTGCCTCCAATATTTTCTCACATCAAGCACTAAGAACCCATCACAGTCGTTAAAAAAAAAAAAGTTTAAAAAAATCTTAATCACACAAGCATTTGGCATTGCTATTCTGATCACTGAAGAAAACTCAATAAAAATCTTATTCCCTTCCTTCATCTTCTGCAAAGAATCGATTGACACTTCCAAAGTCTTTGATAAAGGCTCCCCCACTGCAGAGAAGAAAACAAAAGTCACGTCCTCCCTCCCATTAAGCATTTTTTCCTTATAAAATAAGCAAGACAACGTGAACGTCATCAGTGGAAATCAAACCAGCTATTTCAACTCGAAAATTTCAGCTGAAAAGACTAAGCTGAAATCATGATTTTGCATAATTGTTTCCCTGCAAGAAACATCTTGATAATATCCCATTCTGCTCCAAAATTAAACAACAAAGATTAGCACGGATGTATTTAAGACTATATACCTGAATGGTTTGCCTTTGGTGTACAGTTCTTCTGGGAAATCACTGTGACATACAGCATGCTATTACAATTAAATATGCAAGAAAGAAGAATTAAACTGACTATGAATAATTAATACCCTACAATACTACTTCATAAGGGAAAGTCTGGCTGAATATTCCCGCAGATAAAATATTCCCAAACACAAGGCACAGCAGAGCTGGCAGCTTTACTTTTGTGATGGCGTTTAAAACACCAAGTAACTTTATGGCTGCTACTCAATTCGAGAGAAGGTGCCAGTCATCCAAGCCTTTTCCTGCTGGATTCCCATCCAGCTTCTGAAAAATGGGGTAAATGCAACTGTTGCAATAGTTGCAGCACCCTTCATCTATGTCCCAGAGGTAACAAGCTTCCCAAACACTTTCCATTAAAAGGTATAAAGCAATTATCTGACATCCCAGCAGGGACAATAAAGCAAATATGATGCAACAATTACTTGGGTGATAAGATCAGGCTAAGGTTGTGAGAAAAAACAATTAAAAAGGCTTGCAAGAGCTAAGGAATGCAGCTTACTTTCCCAGAATCTCTCTTAAGGACAAAGATACCATCAGCTCCAAGAGTCGACCTTCCTGTTTCGAGTTTACTGTTCTGGAGGCTGCAGAACATCTACTGTAGCAAACCGAAAAAGGCAAATAAAATAAAAAAGCGTTTTTTTTGCACAACATCACCCCTAAATTGCATACATTAGTATTTACTGAAATACTTGTAAAATTGATATCCAACTGTTGGCATTTTCTGTCAGACTCCATTGTCGGTCAGTGTCGGGTCAGCACAGTGCTAATTGACACAAATGCATTTGTTGCACATTTTTAGTTGGAAATGCCCAGTTCCTCCCAGTTTATCCATGCATGACACACCCAACACCCCTTTTGGGGAGAGAGATTTGAGATCCAACCATCATTTGTGATCACTGAGGTGGAATGTGGCACTGCTACTATAATTGCTGAAGGTGACAGCATCCCTCTGCTCCTGTCCCCAAATTGCTCCAGGAAGGTCTTGCTCCTGCAGGATCCAAAGCAAGCACGAGCTGAGGGTCTTTCTGAGCACAGGCAAAGCCATGTTCCAAGTATGCTGGCTTAATATTAATTTTCTATTAAAAATTAATAGGATTAAATGAAGCTTGCAAGCCTTTGGGCACCAAAGCAGTTATTTTGCTGACGCACTCGTTGCCCAGAGGAGCAGGTTGAGAGCTCCTGCAGGATCCATGTGGCTCCTGGGGGGAACAGGGGGCTCTTCCCCCAACCCCCACAGGGACCCTGTGTTCCATCAGTGCTGTGTCACCCCATCCTCCTGCCCAGAAACTGGTGGGGAAGATGAAAAACCCTGATGAGATCCCAGTGAAAACCCTTGGTGTATTCCCATCTGAGATCCAGCCTTGTCTGGACACTGCCTCCAATCCTCAGCCATGTGCCCCTTTCCCACTTCCCAAAATTAACTCCCTTGCCAACAAGAACTCTGCAAATATCCGGAATTTACATAAGCTTAACCTTCAGTCCCTATTAATGTTAACGGAATAGGAAAAAATTAACCATGTTGCAAGCAAAAAGACTGTATCTGCATTTCTAATTATACAACAAAACACACCACGTGGCACTATTTCCAAGCACCTTGCTGGGAATAAAATAGCCAATGGACTGAGGCTTCCATTTGGAGTGGTGGATGCAAGAGCAACCAGCACTGAGGCTGTCAGAGTTAAGGGATGAGGATGTGAGAATTAAGGGAAATGAAGTGACATATGCGAACGATGATAACAAAAATGTTAATAATTAGAAAAACAGTCACCTTAAAAATTTAAAATTTCATGATCTCTCCTACTTTTTAATGGCTTAGCCTACTTTTTCCAACCTAATTTGCATGATCAAAATAGGCCTCCTGCCAGGAAGCATTAAAATGGCAGCCCCCCATCGAGACAAAACTCCTTTCACCATACGAGACTGAAGGACTAATAACTATTCCTAAAAACATTTTAAATCCATTAACGTTGTTTAGCAAACACTTATTTAGAATTAGTGCCGCCATCAGAATTTGACTGTGCTCTACTAAAGTGTTTTATAAAAGCCTTTGAGGGAGGAGCAGGTCCCTCCCAAACACCTGTGCCATCTCCAACCCTCTCCAAAAAGCTGAGCACCCTCACACTCCTACACATTTTCCATTCCAAAACCCCAAAGCATTCCCAAAATCAACCAGACAATTCCCAACAGCTCTGCAGAGTGCCAGGCTGGGCAGCTGGAAGAACCCTCCAAGATACACAGAACAGCCAGACCAGAGTACACCATCCCCACCAACCTCTACAGTCAGCAATTAATTCTATACACCAAAAAAACCCCAGGTCAGTACAAAAATATAAACCTCAATATTACTGATGTACTGAAGATTTGGATTGTAGTAGAGATATATGGGTTTATACAAATTTGTCCGAGCTTTGTGTTATCCTTCCAGTGCCATCTGCACAAAGCCAGAGTTTTATCTGAGCATTGGATACTAAAATAAATCATTTTCTCCATATCTATGATCTTGTTGGAGACAGACGCCACAAACCTGAGAGCTGGCTAGTGCAGGCTTGTCTAGTCACAAATAAAATTACATCCACATCAATATGATTTATTTTTAATAAAAAAATAAGGCAAACCAGGCTCTTCATATTGAAACAGGCTCAGCCAGCACCCTCCATGCCCACAGAAGAGATCATGTACAGTGTGAAATCATCAGAATAAAACTGGGATTTGCGCTGTCACTTCCCCTAGTAAGAAACACCACTACCAAGAGACACATTTTAATTGACACACGTAATGAAAAGTACCTGCTCATTCTCCACTTGCTGTACTTATTGCTATTTAAATTCAGGACTATAAGTCTTGGCAGGGTATTTTCTGGTGACTGCAGTTTTCTGGAGTGTCCATGCCCCAACAGATCTTTCAGAGTGAATTTGGCTCTCCAATACAACACTAATGACCCATCTCTGTCCGTGCATGAGTGAGGTTCTTGGGCTGCACTTCTCAAAGCATCTCATCCTGAGTGTCCCCTGTGAGCGGGGACCTCACAGTAATTAGCACAATCTGATACTGGAAACTCAACTTTAATTCTAACATTGATCCCTCGGGACAGCACAGCCCATGATTTGAGACAGGTTTGTCCCAAAAGACCCTTTGTTTCTACCTTTCAAAGTCACCAAAGGCTGGCAAATAAATGATATTCTCCAAAAGCTTTGCAAATTCTTTTCTCCTGGCTGGATACATTCTCCAACCAGCAGCCACAGCTAAAGGTTTATACAGGATCACTGAAAGCACCAAATCTGTTTTATTTTCTTCTACAGAGCAACTTCTAACATCTGCAGTCACTGCTATGAGATTGCAAAGGATTTTATTTGCCAAGTCAAGCTGTTGAAAGGACAGATTATAAAAAATAAACACTAACCATTTTTAGATCTAACTTTCCCCCACAGACCGTGTTTTATGCCCTTTCACTGGAAATGTTACATTAGAATAAAATCAGATTTAATTGGCTCTTAAATAACTGAACAGCCACTTAAATTTTATTTCAATAGCAGTAATTCATAAATCAAGCAGCTGAAATCCTAGCACAGAGTGACAAGTAAAGAGAGCAGAACACAGTGAAGGAGAGCACGAACACCACATGGTAAAAGGTGATTTTTCTCAAATTTCACATGTCACCATTTTATGGACATCACAAAGGTACCACCACATAAATACTCAGATCTCAAACCTGTCAGTTCATAGCAGTACCTGCTTAACAAAGACCAGTAGATGATGATCCTTGCCCAACTCCTTGCTAGGAGAATGGCTGGGATTTTAGCCATGGATGCAATTTCCCTCATGCACACTAGATGGAAGTATGGAAAAATCTTAATTCTTTCCCGTCTCAACTTAAATTCAAGTGGTTGAGATGTTATGTTGGACTGTCACTCTGAGAAGAATTTTTTTTTTTTGTTCTTCATCAGCAACTTCACTCATTGATAAGCTCTAAGTAAAAAGATGCCCTGAAATATTAAACTAAGCAGTGTTGAAAATTAATAGTAAACATAAGAGAATATACAGCAGAAATACTAAATCTATTATTCAGGCTAATTTCTAAAGTACATACATTCATTCCTAATAATTCTAATTTCTAATTATCACTAGTGAGATCCTTCAGAGACACTGAAGTAACATTTTTTAAACCTCCAGGTTATTATAAGAAACACCACCTTGTTAATGAATAGAAACAGGGAACAGAAAAGGTATAAAAGGATTCATAAATGCTGCTGCAGTTTGACTGGAAAAAAGCCCCAGCAGATTTGTAGAATATAGTGGGAGAGGAGAGGGAAACAGAGAACCTGAAGTCTTGCAGAACAAGCAGATCAGAGAGCAGCAAACCTGAATGGGATTAAATTACACACAAATCTCCTGGAAACGATCTTAAAAGTGACTTGTTCCAAAACAATCCATTTCTAAATTTAAACACTAAAGAGTTCACAGACACAAAAACTAAATCAGGCAATGGTGTGACCAGGAAAAGGACTGGAAGACCTGTTTTCTCTCCCCTACTCTGGCTTTTTCATATATTG